GAAGATTTGATTTGCGGTCATCTGTTCGAGCCAGCCAGATCTACATAAATTTTAAGTCGTAAGTTTTCTACATCAAACCTTTAGATCCGCTGCGCATAGGTTTATGTTGAATGTTTTTCCGTGATTTGTGCATATCGAGATCCTCATGGGTTCCAACATGTTCATCATAGGAGCTTCATCCCAAATGATCAACCGACATTGTATGATGAGTTCGGCCAAAGGACTCTGCTGGCTAATATCACATGTAGAGCCTTCCACCGGATTTAGTGGGATTTTGAATCATGAATGCACAGTTCGTCCGCCGGGCAACAAAAGTGATGCGATACCGCTCAATGCAACGTTCAACACAATCTCACCTTTGGATCTCAAAGCAGAAGACAACGCCCTCTAGAACATATGTTTTACCGGTGCCGCCGTAACCATAAACGAAAAACATGCGGCCGTATGTACGGTAAACAGAGTCCATTATCGAGCCATAAACATTCCGCTGCTCATCAGTCATATTGGCACCCAACTCCTAGTTCTCAATAGTGAGTGCACGTCGATGGTAATTCAACTCGTCCATCACCAGTCTGTTCGTGGATGCCTCATTATGATCAAGATTAGGAAAAGGCATTGTACTGTATTCGCGTAAGCTCGTACCACGTTTGCGCAAAATTTTTTCAACTTCCGCCAAGGCCATATTTTTTACTTCATCATCGCTCAGTACCAATTCTGTAACACCAGTATACAAAGTTTATAAATATAAAGACAAAAGATGAAAAGAAAAAAAACATAAGATTGTGACAGTAATAGATTGACTAACCTGGGTGCTGTAAAACCCTCCGACGATTGTATAATATATCATCTGATAGGTAAGGCCAACATGATTCCCACACAAACTCTGGTCTACCGAGAGTATCAAAAGACAACAAAGTAGCAAAAAGGTTTCTCAATGAATTGGCACTCGACCACTGGCTTGCCTCGATAATCCCTTCAATATACTCTTTGTCGTCCTCCACCAGACCAAGAGAAAAACACGCGTCATGATATGAATCGTGTTGTACTCCGTCCAACTTCATGTAGTTACGATGGCACGTTGCACCTTGAACAACGTTGATAAGACACCGCAAGTAATATATGTCACCAGCGCCAGGGGGGACGAAGTATAAACGCACGATACGATTACTTCCTTTGCTAGGCTCCCAACTGTTGTACTTTCTTAGTGCTGTTTTGATGTTATGTGTTAAATGATTAAGTGCTAAATGATCATTTATGATGTTTTTATTTCTTGGTGTTGTTTTGTTGTTATGAATAGAGTTAATCTGATAGAGGTTTTTGCTTCAGACAACTTGTATAATCTGATGAAGTTAATTTCTTAATAATGGATCTGTTTTTGCTGTTTTGATGTTTTCATTTGAGTAAAAAATAATGAACTGATTAAGCTATTTGCTTAACAATTCTGATATGATCTGTTTATGTTATTTGTTGATTAATTTAGTTGTTTTGCTGTTTTGGTTAGAGAACAAATCTTGTTGCTATGTTGTTGTATGACTGATTAATAGTATGGCTGAATATAGTTAAAATAATTGAATAGCACAAACATTAATAAATAGGAAGCAGAAATATTTATTCATAGAATTTCTTGTAATTGCGATAAGAATACATAATCATAATTGAAACTGTTTCTGAAATTACTAAGCACACAGATTATTTTTCAACTTTCAAAATTTTTCAATCTTTATCTTCTTCTGCCCTTTTGGCTCCTCCGAACAGCTTGAGCCTTCTCCAAACACCTCAGTTTGTTCCCTCTTCTTAATCTTTTCCTTGCATCCATTTCCAGCAATAAGTGGACAGTCCATTTCACCCTTTGCAACCCAGTTTGGGCTGTGAACTTCAACCTTTACAGCCCTATTTGGGTTGTACAGTTCAGTGGTTACAGCCCTTATTGGACTGTAACATTCATCATCTCCAGCCCTTATTGGGCTGTTCATTTCAGAATGTGCAACACATATTGGGCTGTTCTCCTCCAATTCAGCCTGCACAACCCTTTTTGGGCTGTTCACTTTAGCTTCTACAGCCCGGATTGGGCTGAGCAGCTCACCATTTGATTCCTTCATTATTAGAAAATATAAATTAGTAAAAAATATAATTTTATATGTTATATATAGAATTAATTAGGTAATAATCTGTGAAGTTATTGGCAAAGGTCCAAATCGATTGAGCAAAATAGGATCAGCGGTAATGCGAGCAACCGTAAATGGACATTTGTAAGATCCAATTTTTTTTTTTATATATATAAACACCCCAAATTGGGGTAGGGGGTTGAGGCTACACCCCCGACCTGTGGATATAATGGCCCAGAGGGG